CTGGGAGTTGAAGTCCACTCATCTTAAAGTGGCCAAGTTTGGACAACACTGCTTTAAGTGGACCCTCTGCATACCACATGTTTTTTGCCCTGGAACACAACAGCAGAACCTTTTATGGTAAAATTATCTTCAGATGTCCACTTCTGAAAGGCCTTCAGAATGAAGACACTGGGATGCTATGTATCTTTCCCCAGATGACTGAAGTCCTCCTCCTCAAACACAGTCCCCATGTTTTATTTTGCTCCCCCAACATACCTGGCTGTTTGCTCATATGCCTCTTCAATCTGCAGCTTAACTATCCTGATATGGTGGAAGGACTCGTCCTTATCAACGTCAATCCATGCGCCGAAGGGTGGATGGACTGGGCCGCAACTAAGGTAAATGCATCATTTGTTTAAACTTACCTTGAAACAGATCAACGCATTTTCAGAAGTACAGGTATTGTGGAAATAAACATTTGGATTTATTTGGGATTAGCAGCCAAGCATTCTTTTTCTGAGCTTCATACAGACTGCTCCCTCCACACACACACATACACCCCCAAGACCTTGTTCCCTGATCCTGGAGTCCAATATCCATTTTTAATTATAAAGAGTAGATCAGTGTTTCTCATTCTTGGCAGCTTTCAGATGTGTGGACTTCAACTCCCAGAATTCCCCAGCCATGCTCCAGGTTGCAAGATAAGTGGGGTGAGACTCTGTGATGAATGCTACCTACCATCCTAATTGCAAAAAGATTGGCTGATAGTGCATCTTAATTTCATGGTTAGCATTAACATTGTAACAACACATAGAGTATGTACAGAAGGCCCAAATATAGAGAAGTCCAACACACTGATATTGCATTAATAGTCTAAATCTCTACTGCTCTGCAACACTAGCAATACTTGTGTTTGAAGCAAATGAGTGGTTGTGCCTACTTTTGTGTTATTTGTATGCAAAATGAAATGTAGCACAAAACATTGCACTCTTCCCCCATGAACTCTAATTTCCTATACCAAAGGGTAGAAAGAGCTTACAAAGCAGGCTGGTAGGGAGGCAGCTGTGAACAATCATCACCTTCTTCCACTTGGCCATGGTCTTGACCGCTTCTTCTCCCTCAGTGCTCTACTCGCTCATCCTCCCATCCAGCATTAACCAAGAGCAATAGAGATGTGGCCAGGCTGGAAATACCTGCCCATCCACACACCACAAAACAACCTTTCCACTGCAGTGCTCGAAGCAGATCAACCCCTCAAGAACACCACTTCTCTCCAAACCACTCCATTTTGTTTTGTATTCAGAACAAAGCAGCGTGGGTTAACATCTGTTGTTTGCCCTGTCGAACAAACCTTTGAGAACACACCTTCGGTTTCACATCCACAACACCCCAAAGGGCCATTTCGGAAGTCACCATGTTTTGCACTTCCCTGCTTTGTAGTCATGCCCATATATTTGCCAACGTGGACTAGGTGTCTCTTTCTAAAAAAGACATTAACGTAGAGATAGCACCTGCCAGGGTCATTTTAAGTTTGATTTCTGCACAGAGCAAGGGGTGGGACTCAGCGGCCTTGATGGCCTGTTCCTACTCAGGCATTCTATGCAGATAAGTTGGCCCGAGTGTTATCTGGCATGATTTACATTTGATTTTCTGCATTTCTTCCTTGAGGGCAACCCATCCTAAGCCATAGCTGACCTAAAGGAATTGCATCTTTTGGGGGTATTTGGTTTCTTTGCAACAGCAGCAAATTCACTTTGCGCTGCAGTGCTATAGCTGGAATCTTGAGTATTTTGCAGAGTTCTGGTCATTTGGGCTGAGTTCTCCTGGGGTGACTTACTGATCTGAAGCCCTGGCAGAAGATTGGAGAATTTGGAACAAATTGGGGCACAGGGAGAAGAAGCTGAACTGCTAGTCTGCATCACATTTACCAACTTTGCCCATATCTTCAGAATGTTAAAGACCATATCAGAGCAATTGGCTGTGTTGCCCTTCCAGAGCAGTTTTTTTCCAAACTTGGCAAGTTTAAGACATGTGGATTTCAAATCCCAGAATTTCAAGTTCCAGGTGTCATTGCTCAGTTTCATGCCATGGCCCAAAAATTCCAGGCGTGGAATCAAAACGCAGGACCCAAATGCAAAATAATCCAGGCTTCACTGCAGTGTTTATCAGACAGTGCATACTGGAGGGGACCCACCAAGGGTTAGTGGGAGACACGCCCCTGCAGGCAAAATGGACACCTGATATTTATACATTTCTACAGGAAGAGGAAGGGAAAAGAATGCACACACCTACATATTCATGCGACAATGCAGACATACATCAGCAAGCAAGTTACATTCTGCCCCCCTTCTTATCTCATTGTCCTTCGAGACAGATGCCTCCTCCATTTGCCCCTCTTCTTATCTGCTATCTTCAAGGAAAACAGTAGCCTTCCTATGAGGAAGTAACAAGTGAGTTCAAGGTGCCAAATGCCAGGAAGAACTGTGAAACAGATGCCTTGTGCAATGGGATGTTTGTGATCAGGCTTTTTACAATCATCCCAGTTCACACCAGTTGGATAAATTCTTTCCAACCAGCCAGCTTCAAGGGTGCCACACATTCCTTTATATTTCAGTTTTATTAAGGCGATCCCATTTATCTGAGGCTTCTAAAAGCTTACTTCCTTCACCCAAAGATGTATTTTCCTGACACAGGCATGGGGAATACTTAGCAATCATACTTTGTTTGCATAAGAGCACTGTAGTAATGAAGGATTTGGCAATCTCACAGGATTTCAGTTCTTTTTATTTTCACTTCTCTCGTTCATTTTAATTTACTGGGGTGGAGAGGTGGCAAACAGCTGAAAATCACAGGCACAGGATTGTGAATTCCTGTTCTCAGTACCAAAGAGCGTGCAATAAAAACGCTGTAGACTAATCCAAACTTTGGAGAACATTGTTCTAAAAAAACTGTTAGTCACACTGTGTTGCTAAGGCATTGTGGAAACTGGAACGAGAAACCAGGTGGATGGTATATCTACAGTTTAGACAATTTTAAAAAGTATCAGTTGTAATTATGAAAAGATGGTGCATTCGATGGTGCGTTGAAAGAACAATGGCTTTTCCCCACTTGCCCCTGTCCATGGCAACATCTGTTCTTCTGCCATGTTTTATAAATTTTGGCACCACCCAATGAAATCCCCAAAGCATACAAAATCTGTCTATAGCAGTGTTTCTCAACCTTGTCAACTTGAAGATATGCGGACTGCAATTCCCAGAATTCCCCAGCCAGCCATTATGGGAGTTGAAGTCCGCATATCTTCAAGCTGCCAAGGTTGAGAAACACTGGTCTATAGGCTGTCATCTATTACTTTAGAGGGAAGTTGGTGATTTGCAACAGAGACAGATCGGGAGATGGGCAACAGGAAAGGAATTTTCATTTTGGTGTAGTTTTCTGCCAATTCACGGGTGGCCCGGTAGCATTTCCAATCAGCAGCTGGGGAAGGCTCTTTGATAGATAACACGCCTATTAGGAAGGGCACCAGAACACGGTGAGTATCCTACACAGGTGATACTTTGTGGGGGGCTTAAAGCAGTGTGATACTCGCAACCAAAAAAAAAATGGTTACAACTGCTCTGGGGTGCCTTCAGAGCACAGACCAAGGGCATGATGTAAAGGTAGAATCAGCAGCTGTCAGTTTTAACCCCTTGGTTGGTGGTGTGGTTGATTTTGTATGGTGTAATTCCGATCCACTTTTGTTAAACTGGTGTTGATCTGTTTGAACAGTAGCCTTTTAACAAGAGATTGTTGTTTTTCATGTTTCTTGATCCTTTGAAGTCATAGGATGAGGAACACACACAATAGAAGGGTCCAACGTACCCTTTCAGGGCTATATATTTAATGAGTGAAGAAAATGCATTCTGGAGTGATATAATTGAATGTCAGTATGTAACCTGACTCGGTAATGGTACTTGATCCCTGGAGTGTTTGAATTATCCTAATGCTCTTCTTTTTTTAAAAAAAAAATGTCTAGATTTCTGGATGGGCTCATGCTTTACCAGATATGGTCATTTCACATCTTTTTGGCAAGGTAAGCCTGCTTGTTAAACATTCATATTAAAACATTAAGTTCAGCCTTCGTCTAACTCATCTCTGGTCAGGATACTAATAATTGAGGTAGCCATGGCACGCTATCCATACAACAGAAGAACTATTTTACATTTAGCTGTTATTTTTTTATTACTGCTCGGCTAGGCCCCATCTCTCTTTGGTCAACGCGTGAAGACGTTGGGGAAAAAATGGCAGGTTTTGGCTGGCTTCTCATTTAGCATTTAAGAGCGCTGTGTTAATTGTCAAAGAAGTAGAGCTTCAGAGCCGGTGGACTTGTGAGAAAGAAGTGAGGGAAGACCGTGTGTATATGTTGCTGTGAGCTCTCTGAGAAAAGGTGGGATAGTGACATGGCAGGATTTTGCTTTCATGTTTTGAATATCTGTCTATTCACAAATGGGCAGTGCTAACTATGTAATGTTACAGTTCACTCCCTAACCCTCTATGCATTCCTACATGAACTACATAGTTAGCACTTCCCATTCATGAACAAATTGACAAGCTCTCTTATTTAGCTTGCAGAACATCCTGCTAGGTCAGTATTGCTGTTTCCAGATGTTCTCCCTCTCCTGATCTTACTGATATTTGATGAACATATTTCTTAAATCTAGGAAGAGATTCACAGCAACCACGATTTGATCCATACTTACCGCCAGCACATCCTCAGTGACATGAATCAAAACAATCTCCACCTGTTTGTCAACTCTTACAACAGGTAACACGCTACTCAATTTTTCAAAATGCTTAGGAAAACATTTGCGGCTGCTATTCAGGGGGGCTCAGTAACTGGATCTCAGATTGTTTTGGAGATCGCTCTTATGAGAAGCTTAGTTCTAATCTTGAAATTCCCATTGACATTTAAACTTTATTTTAAAAACCTGTTGATGAAAAACCCTTGAAGGGAGAATGCCAGGGAGAGGGACAGAGAGTGCCTGGGAGTATTAAAACTTAAAGCGATACATCTGGTGACATTTGTTTCCTTCTGTTGTGTGAACTTTTCAAATCTGGGCATTGTGTTTTCACATTTTGAAGCAACGCTGAATACTCAACATTTAACTGCAGCCTAGAACACCAGCCTGGCAGGCCTCCAATTGTCCACTCATTGTGTTGGGGGATACACACTGGCCACAAGTTTCGTATTGACAGCTCCTTCCAACCTTTTTGGGAAATGGGCTTTAAAAGTTGCATATGTAATATTTTGTATATTTGTACAATTTGTATATTTGTCTCCTGTTTGTTTTGCAGTCGAAGAGATCTAGACATTGAACGTCCGGTTCCAGGAGTAAATGTTGTTACTCTACAGTAAGTTTTTGTCATAATCAGCCTTTTAATGTTGGGTTGGGAAAAGGGGACATTGAATTTTCTTGGGCTCCTTTCTGTGAATGGTAAAAATCCTGGTAATGTCAACACATTGCAAGACACACAAAGGGGACGCTGGCCTACAAAAAGGTAGCTTAGCAGCCCTAGCTAACATGGTCTTCATCAGAAGCTGACAGTTGATGTTCCCAAAAGCCAGCCTCAGCTGACAAAGCCAATGATTAGAGCACGTGCTAAACGGAGCCTGCAATGTACAAACTTACTCCATGTACATGGACAATCTGCTGCCTGCATTGTAGCCCTACTGAAGCTTCGATGGAGACTATGAAACTGTCTTCTCAGTGTCTACTGAAATTTGTGCCATACAAATCTAAGAAACGAATAGTGGTCTATCTTATCACAGGATCTGGTAAGCCAGTGGTGTAATCGTCCTCGGAATACACACACAAACAAGACTTAGCTCTTATTTAGTTGTACAGTGGTGAGTTGATCCTTCCTAAATTGGCTCCTCTAGAAGGGTTGGGCCTACAACTTCCAGGACAATGTGTTAGCAAAGTTATAGGTCATACTGACTGAGGATATCTGAGCAGTACCCTGAACGTTGCAGAGTTCCAGATTGGGGCTGGATAATTAGTTAATTTTGTAAAAACTTAACTACAAGCTAACTATCATGGTCTAGTGAAAACTGACACTAAGTAGGATCAAAGTTTATTTAGGGGAATATGGGTAATGCCTGGTTTTTTTTCTCCCCCAATGCATAATGGCAGTCCCAAAAGTTGTGATCATGCTAGCTTTAATGCTTGCACTTTTACCCAAAAGGATATAAATATAAGAGTGTTTAAATGCATGTATCACTGGAGAAGCTCTTATTGCCTTTCTCCTGGTTGCTGCTACGACAGGCTGAATCTTTTTATTCTCACTGTAGCAAAATTGAATGTATGGCTGGAAATCTAATTTAGAATCTCAGGGACCCCGCAATTGAGCTTCCTGCTCTCTTCTACCTAATTGCTCTGTATTTGATTTAAGAATGAGTTTCTTTTTCAATCACTAATTCTTGGCTCCTACCATGGTTTTTTGTTTTGGTGCCTTTGAGCCAGTGTTGATTCCTGGCGACTGCCTGGACTAACCCTGCAATTTTCTTAGCAAGGTTTTTTGGAAGTGGTTTGCCATTACCTGCTTCCTAGGGCTGAGAGAGAGTGACTGGCCCAAGGTCATCCAGCTGGCTTCACACCTAATGTGAGACCGGTTTCTAGGCTGGTGCCTTAACCACTAGACCAACTGGCTCTGCTCCTATCGATAGTTCTGCTGTTAAGATAACACCAAAGCTGAATTAACCTGGTTGTAGTTTAGCTACCTGCAAAATGGTTTTCTACTTACTATAGCAAACCACATGACATTCCCAACTACATTGTCCTCCAGGGGTACTGGCTGCAGAATCATGCAGGCTGGGAATTCTGGATTATGGTGGCCCAGCACCTTTGGAGGGTAGTCAGACTGGCTGTCCTAAACAACAATGCAGTGCCAATCCAGAGTGATCCAAATGTGTCTCTTCAGAGATGCTCTAGCTTTGTGAAATGATCCAGATGGCTCAAACAGTTGAGCAGGGTGTTCATTTCTTCAACAAGCCAGCAGCAGCTTGAGTTTTGACAGCCTCGTTCTCTCTCTGATACAGCTGGAACCACTTCCTTAAAGAAGTGCAAAGCCATCGAGCATTAAGAAATGACTCGACTTCAATTGTTTGCTTTCAGGTGTCCTGCTCTGTTGGTGGTTGGAGACAGCTCTCCTGCAGTTGATGCTGTGGTAAGTAGAAATAACCCCCTAGTTTTCTATTGAGCACGCAGCCTCATTCAACATTGCTCTGTAAGGATCACATCCTGTTTGTTTTGACTTCTCCCCACCGCCAAGTATTTGAAATAATGTCCCTAACAGTCCATTGAGGTTGCTCAGAAATTCTGGTCTTTGGAGATGGAAAAAAACTAAGCTTGGGAGATGGCGGTTTATCTAGGGCTGAGAGCCCAAGTCTAATATCATACAAGTTCCCAGGGCTTAGATATAGAGTATTAAGTAGAGCCAATATGGCTGCTTCCTCGCCTCTATTCTGGGTCCTGGGCCGGGATAGATCAGTTCTGTGAGTTTTTTGCCATTATATCTTTCTCACTTTCTGAGACAGGCTAGACTAGCCATCACAAGCTGGCAACTTGTAAATAATTCCAACAATTGTATTCCCAACCCATTTTGGGTCAGATCAGGTTAGACTGAAGAATAATGACTTAGTTGAACCTACTCATGGCTAAGTGAGGAACTGAGCAGGTCAGTCTGTTCCTAGACTAACATTCTAACCATTAAAGCATACTTTACCCTAGGTATGTGCTGCGAGAAGGAACCTTTTACAATAATGTTGGGGGAAGTTGTGATGCACTAGCCAAGGTGTGGGAAGGGATATGCAAGGAATGGACAAGCTATACATGAAGTATTTATGTCATCATGGGCCTAATCTTTCTTCTTGCATCATATTTCCAGTAAAAAATTCCTACTAAGCATTTAGTTCTTATGAGAAGAAAAAGTAGTTCCTATAAGCAACAATGAGAGTTTCTCTCCTGATCTAAATAGTAGCATGGATTTGGAAGGGGTCATTTGGTTATTGAATCCAGCCGTTTGTTCAAGCAGGAATCTAAATGAAAGCATCTTGACAGCCGGTGGGAGACACGGAGAGGGATTAAATTCCCTCCATAGCTGACAATCCTGAAACCTGGGGTAGATAGATAAGTTGTGGTCCTCAGGCCACATGGAGTTCACTGCGTAATTTCAGAAGTCCTGCTTCTGCATACCAGCAAAGGGGGAAAATGGGGAGAGCAAAGGAGAATGAATGGGTGCTCCTGCCAAGCTTGAACTTTTTCATCCCCAAGATAGATTTGTGAAAAACAGAAAAATAGAGTTCCTGTTCCTGCCTGTTAAGGAGCAGGTGGGTGTGAGGAAAAAATAATGCAATATCAAGCAATGTTTTTAAAATCCAGAGTTTCACTGGTGGCTTCCTGAAATCCTCTAATGAAGGAGGATTTCCTTCACTGGCTGAAGATAAGTGTGGATCCTTATCCTTGAAGGAAGCAGACGCTGGATCCTCTAAAAGTTGCATGCAAGAGGTTTAACTGAAAATGTGAGGGGGAAGTTCAGCTTTTCTTTTTTTCTCTCTGTTCCCTTTCCTGACAGGTGGACTGCAATGCTAAACTTGACCCAACAAGGACGACCCTTCTAAAGGTAACCACTGGGCCCCAAAGCACGACTCTTGGGGTTTGTGTAAAGAGTTTAGACTTTTGCGAAAAGGACCAGAGTGTTTGTATCCAGGTATTTGTACTTTGAGCAATACAACCAGGCAGGAGATATGCTAGCAAATAGTAGTGGCGTCAAAGAGAGGTAGGAGGCTGAGGGCCAGGAATATGGAAGCTACTCTTCCCTCTCCTTGGCTGGCAAAATCATTGACCTATATTTTTGTGCAAGCATTAGGGCTCTTAAGTGTTATTAGGGGGTCAGAAGGTAATGCTACTACTAAGTTTAGAAATTCATTCCGTAATGGATTTTAATCCTGCTAGGAAGGGGGTTTGCAGGGTGACATGGTAAAAGGGCACCACTTCATTGCCTATAAGATCCATCAGTGTCAAGCTTAATACAATAAGTACTTAAGAAGGTTCTGGGGTCTGAGGGGTTTCTTTAGGTATTCTAAGTGCTGCCAGACCATTCTGTGACTCAAGCCATTTGTTCATATTCCTTATCCTTTAAATATTCTCTGAGTGGGGATCATTTCCTACTGGTGATGGAGGGTTACAATTTGGAGCGGAATTATAACTTTTCCTATATTCTTGATGTGGCAGGATGGGCAGAATGATCATCCATTGGCAGGAAGAGAGTTCTTTTAAACTTTTCCCACCAATGAAACTGGTGGAAAGAGAATCCTTTCTCTTTAGTCTAGAAGTTGTGCCATCAGTCAGAACACAGTGATGGATTTGAAGGGTGCTATGGCCTGAGTTTCAGTCCTGTTTTGGACATTTGACAACAGCTAGTCAACAATTTGTTGTCCTGAGTTTTCCCTCAAATTATACAGACCCTCGTGCTCTAAATTCAAATAGGCTTGCACTTTGAACCTGTCTGTCTTTCCTTTCCTTTCCTTTCCTTTCCTCTCCTCTCCTCTCCCCTTCCTTCCATCTTCCCTCCCTCCCTCCCTTCCTCTTTATGCCCTTTCTGCTAGTAATTTGCCCATTCTCACAAAAAATGGTGAGTACACCAAAAAGAGAAAAGGGATATTCATTCATCAGGATTGTAATATAAAGTAGTCTTCCCAGTTTGGTGTCTACCAGTACAGATATATTTCCTGCAATTCCCAAAATTCCCAAGCAGCTGACTGGGAATTCTGGGAGTTGAAATCCAGCATATCTGAAGGACTGATACGGAAGATCACCTTCTGGACATTATGAGCCGGTGGATGCAATGAGCAAAGTAGTATGCATGGGTTAAGGCTTCTTAGCCTTTATTACTAGTTATTCCCATTTAGAAGATAATTCTCTCCTCTACCCTTGAGGTTACAGATTAATCCTTTTTATTTGTTTGGTTTGGAGCATAACCTGCCTATAGCTAACCTACCAGCAGGCACCAGGAATCTCCAACTAAAATGGAATATTTTAGTTAAAATAATAGTATTTTATTTAGAAAATATGCCACCCAGAGTCGCTTTGTGTGAGATGGGCGGCTATATAAATGTGACATATAAATAAATAAATGAAATAAAATATTACTTTGGTTAGAAAACCCTCCTTACAATTCTTCTGAAACAGACTTCTGAGTGAGTATTATTGCCAGAAGGATAGAAATGCATCCCCTTCATCTTTGAATAGAAACATATTGTCTCTATGATGTATCCAGAAATCCTTTTTTTTTTTTTTTTTTTGCTTCTCCCAGTCGAGTGATAAAATTTGTTCTTCCTGTATGTATGGTCGCAAAGTGAGTCAGGACAAGTGAGCTGGTATTGGTGAGAGAGTAAGATTTTTTTTTTTTATTAAACATTACTCACTTTATTTTACTTTTCTTTTGCAGATGGCTGACTGTGGTGGTCTTCCTCAGGTTTCCCAGGTGAGATTTGATTTTGTGTATCTTCTGCTGCTGTTGAAGGAGGCTAGTATTCAAATACATGCATGAATGGAGCAAACCTGGGTATTCTAGCCCTACGCTAGAGCTGTGCTCACTTGGGAAATTATACGGAAAAAATCCTTTGGATTTCACATGAGGTAGGGAATAAAGAGGGTGGCCTTGACAAAGAAAGGGAGATCTGTTACCAAAACAATGAGGAGGGAAGCATTGCTTAAGCCCAAACAGTGAAGGAGGAATGAGAAAATGTCTCAGACAGACACCTCTCTAATTCAGATTAATATAAGAGGAGGAAGAGGTAATTCATAATCAGACTTGCAAGATTGATGGGGTCACCCCCAAGATGTAGATCAGAGCAAGAAATCAACTCCACCTTAAGACTAAAACTATTTTTATTAAGACTGGCTATAGTAACAGAATCTTTATGCTCTATCTCCTCCTCCTCCTCCTCCTCCTCCTAATCTGAATTAAGGAAGTGTCTGCCTGAGACATTTTCTCCTTCCTCCTTCATGTTTGGACTCCTCCTTGTTGCTTTGGTAGCGGATCTTCTGTCTCTCCATCCAGGCCATCCCCTTTACCTTTTACACATGGAGACAGCACCCTTCGTCTTCAGGCTTCTGAAAAAAAGATATGGCTGCTTTAAGGAATAGATGCATTAAATTAATGCAACTCCAAAAGCAATCCTATACTTCTTTAGGCAGAAGCTTATTGGAGCCATTTCCACAGTGATGGATTTCTTAGAAGCCCTTTTAGAGAATACCAAACTTTGCAGCTCCTTTTTAGGTGTGGTCCAGTTTTTGTTAAAAAGGCAAAGCATGTGTGAAAACTCCTAATGTTTGACAACTTACTTGATGACAGGCCTTGTTTATAAGCTTTTAATCTTTTTATGAGAACATTAGCTCCTGATGTACTAAAAATAGCAAATCCAAAACAATTCCAGGTCATCACAAATTATACTCTTTGCACTAATAGAAGAGAATATACGTAGCTCAGGGTTGAACTGTGGGGTCCTCGGGGTTCTCTGAGCTTGGTTGTTTTCTTGCAAACATTTCATTATCTGGCTAGGTAACATCTTCAATGCCAGAGTGGAGTGGGGTTTCCTCTCTGTTTATATACAGTGGCATGCCCTGCCAGTGTTGGTGGTGGGGTGGGTTTGGTTTTGTTTTATTTTTTCCTCATCTGGTAGTTCCTTGATTAGGGTATTGTTTACTGTTTGATTGTATGTCTGGTGATAATCCTGGTGTTCATCTCTGCTTATCTGGGTGATGATTGCTGGTAAGAAGAAGTTCTGGTCTTTTGTTTTCCTTTCTATTGTCTCTTTTGAATAGTCTGTAGATGCTATTTATCTCTGTGTGCCTGTTGATGGCTGCCTTGTCTGAATACCAAGCTTCCAGGAATTCCCTTGCATTTCTGGTTTTAGCTTGGCGTTAGATGCTGCCCTTTTCAATTAAATCCAGAGATGAGTTAAACAACTAGTG